CAACAATAATTTAAGTATGTTTATCATGTTGCGCGCGATGAATAAAAAAGGCTATATATATTCAATTTTAAAAAGATAATACGCTATTATTACATGTTATAGTTCGAAAAAAAGTTTTTAAATGAAATTTTGTTTTGTTATCTTAATTTTGACAGAAAAAAGATGTAAATTATATTGTTTCTAAACTTCTTATTTAAAAGTGGTCACATTAGAATAACGTATAAAAATTATAAATGTATATAATTTTGTGAATTTTATAGTAGAGTAATTATATTTTTTTTAGTTTCTGACGAGAGATAATTATTTTTTTAGAGAGCGGTGATAATTTGTTGTACGATAGTCGTAAATGCGGAGCCACCTCTTAACAGTATGTATTAATAAAGTTTCGTGATTTTTGTATGTATATGTTCTCGAAAAATTTTATATGTATCATAAAATTAATTATTATTACAAATAAGATATTCTTTAAGCAGAATATTAATATTATTGAAATTTGCAATTAAAGATAGATGAAAAATCGCGCTTTAATCGAAACATTATTTTATTGTAGGCTATTCTTTTACCGGAGATAGCAATGGGTATGATTACAGTAACGCCGTTACTAATAATGCATACTTACGATCTAAGAATAGCTATCAAAATGATGGAAACTTTTACGGTGCTGGAGACGACAGTCACAAATTATCCGATGTCAGCAGTTCTTCATTAATCAATGTCGGTAATCAGGGTAGTGTAGGAGGCGACATTGGAAACAATTACAACGGATATGCCGCAAATAATCACAGAGATGAATACGCAGGATATTCCAATACTTACGAGAATTCCGATAGCGATTCTTACACTTCGCCTATTCGTGCAGCAACTAATACATTGTTCAGTGGATATTCTAATTCTAACAACAATGCGGATTCAACTTTTAATGCGTATTCAAGCGGTCCAGTTTACAAAGATTCTGATTTTAGCCAATACGCGGCTAGTAGCAGCAGTAGTAGTAATAAAAGAGTGCCTACTTATTCTGAATATTCCAGACCAGCTGTAGAAAATTATTCCGGAAACATTAATAGCGATGTACAAGGATATCGCGGTTCGTCTAGCTCTTTAAGTTACTCTGAAAGTGATCACGCTTATCCCCCTTATTTGCCAGGTGGTCTGACTAGCGAATACTCGTTTGGAAAGCAGAAAGACGTTCCGTACAATCTGAAAGGCAGTAACAAGTACAGTGATATCTATTCGATACCATCCGAGATGCGCTTCACACGGGGAAATGGGGGACACGTTAGCCATAATTACGATGTTTCACCGTATATATCAGGTTCTAGGCCGAACAGTCACTTCTCGAAGGCACACAGTTCTGGTATTTATTCCACGGGAAAACCGAATAAATATAGTTACAAGTACTTGTCTCGTTACGCTCCGAATAGCGGTGCAAGTTACTCGGCGAGGGAACGCGATGGTTATTACGTTCCTTACGGTAAAGATAGTAGAAAAATTATTGTAATTAAAGATAGCAGGCCGAATTACACACACACCGGTCGTATTTACTCCAATGAGCCGGGTTACGCCGGTAGCAACGGTGGTTACAGAAGTAAGAGTGGCGCTTTTATGAATGGTTATTCCACTTCGTCGAATTTTGATGCATATAGTGGCAGTAGTAATTATAATGACAATCCCACTGTGTCAAGACGATATAGAATCAGCGGTAGTCCAATGCTTGTGAAAAGGGCTATTTCTGCTTAATATTTTTGTAAGATAATATTTAAAAAGTATAATGTATGACACGTAACACACAATGATGTGTTTGAGATTTGTGTATATATATATATTTACTTTATAAGTATATTTTAATAGGAATTTTTGCACTTCGATACGTTATCCAAAATAAAAATGCCGTTCAGTCTTTTATAAATGTTGAAGTGTGGATGTTTCTATTATTTTTTCCCTGTCACACAATTATGTATAAAAATATTATAAAAATTGTCTTCAATATTGTACACATTATTGATGCATAGAGGGAAATATTCTTATGTTTATATATATAGATACCAAGAAAATCTTTCTCTAAAAAATTTTTCTTTCAACAGAATCAACATTATATTGGTTTAGATATAAAGTAAATTATTATTATATATAGATACAAAAGTTTTTCTAGATAGCAACTAATGATATTCATATTTAACATTATTAAAAAACTAAAACCCTTTCTTCAATAGAAAACACATGCACATATATTTTAGATTTATTCATATTTATTTTTTAAATATTATTAAATTATTTTGCGCGAAAATTGTTTGTACATCATCTATGATAAACGTATTGTGAAAAATTCTGCAATTGTTATAATGAAAATTTTAGTTACCATAATTCTATATGATTGTTATATGAAAAAACTAGCATTTTTTAATTGAATTCATCCTGGGATTTTTAATATAATATTTATGGAGGTGTCCTTGATAGCTTAGGCTTGGCCAAAAATGCTTCTTCTTCTTCTTTAGCTAGTTCTGAATTATTTTTCCATGAATTATCATTAACTATATTATTATCATAATTATTACTATTCCTACAAACAATTATTAATAGATCGATTATAAGAGTTATGTATATATAACGTGGAGAGATAAGCAAAAGCGCATTTTATTAAAACAAGCACAATAAATATATAATTTATTTAAAATATAATTTGTTATAAAAATACATAATGTAGACAAAGTATATGTGTATAATAATTAAATAATACAAAACACGCGTGCTTCAACAATACAAATAAATATCCAAAAGTTGTGAGAAGTGCACTGCAATGTGAATACATAAAATTACTCACAGCGACGCTATACTGCTGAGTTTCTCCATTTCTGTAAAAATCAGATTTATAAACATTCTACTTAAAATTTAATAATGATAACAATAACAAGAAATTATCTATTTTATTCGTTTATAATTAATTTCAATAGATTAATTTGTATCTATTAATTCCTATTAAATTGTGTGATTGTATATGAATCAAAGTATCTTAAATTACTATTTCAAATAATACATATTTTTGAAATAACTATTAAACTTTGATTATCGTATGTCATCTAACTGATTAATATTTATCTAAGTTTCCATCACTTTCGTGTTCGTGCTCTAATTTTTCCAAGGTGTTTTGAACATGTAGGGCAAGTCGTAAAGCTTTCACTGAATGTCATTTGCGATTTATTATCTTAATGTACCAAGTTCGCCATTTTTAAGTCAGTGTTTGTATTACAAGATGAAAATAATATAGGAGTTTCTTATTTTGATTATTTAAACAAGTTAAAATGAAGTACGTACCTGTTTGGCCGTTTTCGCGACCGGATATAAGAGTCACAGAAGATGTTATTGCAGTCTCACTACTGTCCCTGTAAAACGATAGCTATTAATTATAAACCATAAGTGAGATCAACGTATTATATACATGAGACTTTATATCAAATCATTTTCGGGCTCAGTTAAGTTAAATTAATTAATAACGCACTTGGAAGTCCGATTTTCATATAAATAAATGGTATCGTTGGAAATTGTTTTTTGAGAGAAATTTTGCTTAAAAGATTTTAGAATTTTTAAAGGTAATTTTTCCCATTCTGCTTTACATTTTCCATCATAGAATTTTTCTATATCGATTCTATGTTGTAATTTGCGTAATTTTAATTGATCCATTTGTATGTTATTTGTTTTAACGCGATTATCGCAATCAAATTCGTATTGATTGTGACTTTTGTTTTTGATCGTGCTTGATGGCCAAACTATATTTTTTAATACATTTAAATTTTTATTCTGTTCTTTGCATGGTCGACTTTCGTATTTCATAATTAGGGAAGATTCCGTACTGACGAATCTTTCTGCAATACTTTCAATTTTATTTGCAGAGAGCGATTCTTTATTTGTGCCGTTTGTGATAATTTGTTGTTCCTTGAAGATATTATCGATATATTATATGAAAAGAGAAAAAATTCAGTCAATAAGAATTTCTCACGAATTTATACTGGATATTATACCTTCAAAGAGGAATCAGATAAATTTGATACTTGTTTAGCAAGAGCTGCTTCTTTGATACAACTTTCTTTCGATAACATATTACTTTTCATCTTCATATTATACCTACTATTTCAATTTGTTATTATTATATTAAATTAATCTTTTCAGTTATGTACATGACATTCGTGTAACATATGTGTCATTAAGAAAAAATTCGATCATTGCTAATTTTTTTGACAATTTTTTATACATAAAAAGAGTGGCGATAATTTTTTGGATTATATTACTTGTATGTATAAATACCTTAACAAAGGATATGATGGACGTTTATTACAAAGATGATTATTATGTTGATTGTCGTAAAAATTAATAGGATTCAGCATAGATATCTTTTGTAAAGTTGTATCCGTGGTTATAGCATTCTGAGGAATCTTTGAAGAAACGCTGTAACACATTGCAAGCAGCGTTTCTCCATTCAATTCACCGATATAATTTTGTAACGGATCATTTTCGTCTAATTCATTTTCCAATACGTCCAACTCTTCCTACGGACATATTATAATATTCAGACAATATTTATTTGGTAAATTAACATCGTACTTACGTTATCATCATCCCCAGTCTCTTCAGTCTGCGGTGTATTAACATTTTCACGCCTCTGTATTTTCAATATATGTTCTAGATGCTTTCTATATTATAACGAAATTATCATCGTTTAAGTTAATTTTTTTAATAAAAGAAAATTGCTGTGTATCTCTTAATTTGTATTTACAAATGTAAACTTTCTAAATCATCACCACTTCAAAGTAGAGATTTGCAGTTTATAAGAAGACATTAGTCAATTATAAATTCATGAATTACACTTTAATGTGATTATTTTCTTATTTTGTATATAGTGAAAATTTTAATCTCTGCTTTTAGAAACTTTATATTTTATGCATGTACCTTATTTTTGTAGTTTTCTGGTTGCCACCAAGATAATCCGATACATTCGAAGATTTCATTTTCTTTGCCTCTTCATTGATCACAGGATTGTTTAGAAAATTGTTTAGCGCTCCATTGATATATGGTAGAGACTAGTAAACAATATATGAAAACTTTATTTAATATCTCTTACATTAATCTTTCTAATATTTTCTTCGATAAATATTATATTTTCGTTAAATATATGCATGCAACTTAACTCACAGATGAATGATCTATTGAGAGAAGAATGAGTAATGTAGAAACAAGTAAAGAAGATATCTTAGATGCTCTAGCTTGCGCCAGCCGATGTAACGACAGATTCATTAAAAGTGCGGTAGCGTATTCAAGCCTGTATAAACTTATAACGCGACATTTATCGTGTAAATGGTTGATTAACCATTCCAACAATCCGTTTTCTATCATGTATATCCGTTGCTGTCTACGTAAAGATAGTTTCTGTAACATCGCCACCATCATGTCACACGCGAAAATGTCAACTCCGTCAGCGTAATTACTATCGAGACAAGCAAAGATCTAAAATATCGAGGATTTATATTAACGTGTGTCGTCACATATATAAGTTTACATTTATCTTTAGTTTTGTAATTCCGAGTAAAAAATTTTTGTCTGATTTTAATATTACGAATAATTATAAAAACATACACAAATGATTAATTTAACATACCACATTTACGACAGTAGATCCGACCGACAAGTAATCTCTTCCGCATCTGAAAGATGCCAATGTGTTTAATAACCGTGCAGTGAATTGTTGTAAAAGATGCCTAGCATAAGCTTCTCCTGCAGTCAGCAAACATGGTAGAATTGGCTTGCCGCTGTCGCTAGCAATTTGTCCATGAAGCCCCAACAAATCGTGGCTTACATATTCGTGCAAGACTTCATCCTGTTCGTTCAACTGTGCGAGAGTTATTTTCTAAAATATAAATATATTATTTAAAATAATTAATATATGTATTATATATCACTTTATATATTTATTGATAATTTTAATACCCAACGCAATGCTTGCAATAGCAACAACTTCGTCTTCACGTCCCCGTTAAGTAGATGTAACTTGATTTTTTTATAGTCCAATAATTTTGGAGATACCGGTAGTGCTGCGATGTGATCAAGTTTAGGCTGGGCAATTGCTTTTACATCAGTATGACCGAATTGCAATAAGGATGGCTGTCGGAAATAATAAAATATGAAAAATACAAAGTTTATAAAAGACACGTCGTGATTTTTTTATACTTACATGGGAAGCCTCCCTTATATTTTGATTAAATAAATCTGGAAATATCTTCATGCAAATTTCGAGCGTTCGTTGTATATCGACAGTTTGGCCTTTCACTGAGTTTTCCAATGCCACCGTTAATTCTCCGGCAACGTTTATTAACTTATGATAGTCCGCGTGTAATTTATGAAATCTCACTTTTAATTTCTCGTAATTTGTATGAACACTGCATAGATGAGTCTTGGTCAATGCCAATTCTTGATTGCATTGAATCAATCTTTTGTCTAGTTTGTGCATCTTCACCAAACTATTAACACTTTCTCCTGAATTCAGTACATCTTCTCGGGAGTTATTGATTATAATTTGGTCTCCAGTAATATGTGTTTGTGTATCTCTGCAAATAATAACACACATACGCGAACTGTTTTAATTTCTTTGCTGAAATCATACAAATAAGACTCTCTTACTTCGATTTTAGATTACGACTTGTTTTATGAGATAAACTGTACTGCTCCTCATCGTCATGGTCTTCTAAAAATATGGGTATATCTCTATCGTTTGGCACGATTGACGTATTAT